TCATCATGTTTAGTCTCCAAATGAGGAGCTAAACTCTTCCATCTTGGTTTTGCTACTTTGAAGCTTAATGAATTTGTAAGTTGTGAGTTATTTTCTTTAATCTTCTTCCTTGAATATTAATTCTTTCTTTCAAAATACTATCTCTATATCAAAGTTGGGGAGTGTTACTAAGATGACAATTAGTTAACATCTTGACATTGGTTATAGTAATAGCTATTTCTTCCTCTATGATTATATTGGGGAGTGTTGCTAAGATGACAATTAGTTAACATCTTGATATTAATCATAGTAGGATTCATATATTTTAATATTCTTCCTTGAGTATTGATTAATTCCTATTCATATTTCATGTTAATATCTTAAACATTACTTAAAGTATCAACTAGTATTGTTTCTCATATTAATTATTACTAGAATCAATCGGTTAATACGCTTGTTATTAATCCGGTTCTTTCAACGGTAGTAAACTTGGAATATTAATGCATGCATCTCATGGTTAATATGCCAAGGGGAATTAATTATATTGATTAAACAAATAAACCGCTTGTGTTGAGGTTATCAATCTCAATCGTTTTCATCTTAAGTTTATTGCTACTATCAAGTTAATATACGGCGCTTGTTCTATATTGACTCGATAGTAAGTTTTATTAATGAACGCATCTCGTTATTAATAACTACCCTCGATGAACTGGATATACTCCTCGATTGAGTATTCGAGAGGAAGATAGTTAAAGATATAACCAGGATCGACGAACATTTCACTAAGTGGATAAAAGCAAAACCAAGTCCCCATCTCATTGAATTAAACTCATATAGGTCGTTTATCTTAGTGTTATTAAACCAAACAAATCTAAACCCCCCTTGTTATTATTTATATAAAAGAAAAGTATTCCTTTCCCTGTGGATACGAACCTTACTACACTATACTACGTATTAGTGTTGTATTGATTAATTATTTTGAGTGCACCTAACGACGAGTGCACGTCAACAAGCTTGTTAAACACATCTAGGTTCTCATCTATGTCTTTAGTCAGGTCAAGCCTAAATCTAAAGAACTTCTCAAGCAAAACAATTTACCAGGCAAAGAAGTATCGGTATACAACTTATCTAACTTGTCCCACAACTCTTTAGCAGAATCTATAATACCCACCTTCCTGAGCACTGAATCAGAAAGGTTTAGGTAAATAGAGGAACAAGCAGTTTCATTCATTTCAACGTGCTTGGTAGCATCCTCAGAGTCTAAATAGAGACCGGTCACAGCTCTATAGACTTTCTGTTGGATCAACACGCATTTGATTTTCTGTTTCCAGATATCAAAATTTGTCTTTCCGTTAAATGGAAGCATGCCATATTGATTGACAGCCATATTAACCGGAAAGCAAGCACAGCACGCAAGAGAGTAAATAAAAAAATTTATCAAGCTATCAACCGGTACGAAGCAACTAGCACGAACAAACCGAAAAGACCAATGAACACAAAGCTCGGGTACAATCTCCTTGTTCTTTCGTACCATACGAAGCAACTAGCACGAACAAGCCGAGAAGACCAATGAACACAAGGCTTGGGTACAATCTCCTTGTTCTTTCGTACAAGCACAGATAAAAATTTTTATTTAATCAACAGACAGATAAATGATTTATTATAACCTATAGGGATATCAATTGTACGAAGCAACTAGCACGAACAAGCCGAGAAGACCAATGAACACAAAGCTCGGGTACAATCTCCTTGTTCTTTCGTACAAGCGCAAATAGGCTAGAATTAAATCAACAAACAAAGAAACGGGATTTAAAACTAATCCGGACAGAAATATTCCCAATTTCGGACAACAGGTATCCAAACAAATATTCTTAACCGGAGAGTTTATCCACGAATCAATCAACAGAAAAAATCAAAAAAAAAAAAATCCAACACGTGATTAAATTTAAACCGGAAGAAATATTCACAATTTTGGACAACGAGTATCCAAACAAAATATTCTTCACCGAAAAAAATTAATCACAAACCAACAAGTAATCACAATTTAAACAAACAAGTAATTGCAATTTAAACTTGAACTTAAAATGAATGAACTACGAATAAATAATCACACAAAGGATTAGTAAACGTACCTGGGGCCGGGCACAGCCGGCATCCAAGACCACGCAGGTCAGCAGCGGGGAGCGGGGAAAAAATAAATCCGGTGGCACTCCGGTACACCAGGGGTGGTTAACGCCAATTTACCTGAGCGGGGCCCGAGGTTGGGTTACCCGACTTACCGTAGGCAGCGTGGGCTGCTGTAGAGCGTGGCGGCAGCGAACTGGACTGGCGGCAGAGCTCCGTGGCCGGCGGCAGCAGGTTTGGTCCAAGGCAGCAGAGTCCCTGGACGGCTGGAAGCTTCTGGCAGAACTCCCTGGACCACTGGTGGCTCTCCTGGATCTCCGGCGACACTCCCTGGACCTCCCGCGACGGCGTACGACGGCGGCGAGACGGCGGCGGGCGGCGGCTGGCTCTGATACCACTGTAAGATGTTTATCCAGCTCAGGTCTCACACGTTCACACCCACAAAGGATGAAATTAACCACTATAGTCACTAAGGGGAAAAAGGGGCGTCAGCCAGCAGGCCACTTTCCGGCCAAGGCTCTTTCCGGCAAACTCACAGAGGAGAAAATGGAATTTAGAGAATAGGGTTTCGGCTTTGTCACTCGCTCCAAAAACGGAACCAATATGCAAATGTATATAAGAGATGCACAGATGGTAAAGATGGCAACTTACCTTGGGAGAGTATCAAGACTTAATCGCACAAGCACAAGCCAAAGAAGGAAAGAATCGGCCAATAGCGCAGAAGAGAATCGGGAAAGACAAAAGCGGAACCGAATCAGGGGGCCGGGTAAACTATAGGGTAAATGGGCTTATGGAATGGGCTGGGCCAATACCTAACAAAAGCCAGGTGAGTAAGATCCACAAAGGAGATATTCAGGGATTATGGGTAAACCATGAAAGCTTACAACTCATTTATCACTAAAACAGTTTTTTCTATAATGGTTTCTTGATGAAAAGTTAATGATTTATTAGTTAATAATATATCAAATGCAGTGATTATGTAAAGCAGATAAATCTTTATAAAAAGATGATCTGGACATGTAAATTAACTTGGAAAAGAAACTTGACATATGATGAGGCATTGGTTTCAGAAAAGGATGCATGCTAGTGAAGAGGCGCAACGGTTCCCGAAAGAACTGATGGCTCTCTAGTACTTCTTGATGTTCAATATAGTAATTCAGAACTTCTTAGACTTCAATTATATTTTCTTTGTTGTATCCATTGAATTTTTTAATGGTACCTGTACGGCTGTACAATGTCCTTTACATATTAGAAAGTCAAAATCATTTCATCTATAAAACACAGGACCAAACCTTGGGTTGTGTGTGTATCCACGTTTTCTCTGTAGTGCAAAGGAAAAATCTTAGTCTTGTTATGTTGCCACATTTTTTAAAGCTATTAATCGAGGCTCTTGATATAACAATATCTGCCTTTTCTTGTACTTGTTAGATTCTTGGCTCAACCATTACGTATGGCCTCCAAATGTGTTGATGGATCTTGATAGGCATTATTCTCTTTAATATAATTGGTTTAAAAAGGGATGTACCAAAACACTCTTTTTTTTTGCACGTACGGTAAAAGCACACTTATTATTTTAATGTTGATATATGAAGAAGAAAATAAAGTACAAGATTGAGCCTAATTATTATTTTGTTCAATATATATAATTTTTAAATGTATAAAAAGTACAAATACAAAATGATACATTGTTGTTTTTTACAACTCCATCTAAGATTCCATATAGGGAAAAGAGTCAAATAGGTCATCAAACTAATTTAAAAAGTGCAAATCACCCTTTATATAGGAGACTCTATCCGCCCGTCGCCATTTGCGGCGGTTCCCGGTGGCATTTTTTGATGAAATTTTTGAACATCTTCTTCATTTAGTCTAGTTTACGCATATCAAATTTCAGCTAAAAATTCAATCGGGAAGAAAGTCAAATGAATTTTTGAAGATAATTGTGCGGTTAAACAACGCAGTACATTTCAGAAAATCATTTGACTGTCTTTCTTGTTGCATCTTTATCTGCAAGTTGGTATGAGTAATCTAGACTTAATGGAGAAGAAGCTCAAAAAATTCCACCGGGAACCGCCCAAATGACGACGGCCGGACAGAGTCTCCTATATAAGGGGTGATTTTCACTTTTTAACTTAGTTCGAGGGCTTATTTAACCATTTTCCCTTCCATATATAACATGTTTATAAAAGTACTTTATTTTAAAATTTAATATTACGTAAGTTTTTTATTTGCAAAAAATATATCATAAAAAACTTTCACCTTTTCACGGCTTCATGCCTATACTAAGCACGCCTAGACTTCGCCTTTTCACGCCTTTGATGGTCAACTTTTGAGTTAACTGTCTTTTCCACGTCTTTCTACAATGTGAGGTGCTTTTCCACGTCTTTCTACAATGTGAGGTGTTTCTCCGCCACCTCACACCTAAGCCCCAACTTTTGCCTCCTTTTAGGACACTGATGAAGAAACGTTTTGGAAAAGATTTGTGCAATTCATTTGAATTGGCAACTTCTTTAAAGTTACCAAGATTTTAATAATTCCCAGACTAATTTGGAGGTTCTTTAACAACGAGAAGGGACATAGGGCCCAGGGAGTAATTTATGTATCATGGAGTATAATCATATTTCACCCAAAGATTTGTTTCTTTCACAGTTTCACATTCCAAACAATTTATTTTTATCTAACACAAATTTTTCGTAATCTGAATCTTCAATCTTTGTATGATATTTTGAAATAATATACAGAGTATATGAATATATATGTGTGTGTCAAAAAATACTTTTGCAAGAGGGGTAGGGACATAGGTCCCCGGGATTGACTTCTACAATAACTTCAGCCAATACGACCAGAAAAGTAACTTCAACCTTACTTTTTCTGCTTAACACATAATTCAGCGCGCAAAAGTAAAACTTACGTGTTAAGTGAAAAAGATGGCTGATAAGCTTATAAGCCGATAAACAGTGTTGCTAAGCGGCCTCATAATTCAACAAACCTCAAAATTATAACCATAGAAGTACAGAGAGATGAACTTTAAAATAACTACACTTTGTATGCTAGTGTATTCAACTTACACATTACTAACATAAGAATAAGACATTTCTGCTTCTAAATTGGCACGCAGAAAGCACAAAAGTGTCTCCATATTTTCAGACAGATTTTGGGCCCCATCCTTATTATGTGGAAAAAACACCACCTTCTCTAGTGCAGGAAAGCGACTAAGTAGCCATTTGAAGAATATCATTTCAAGTCTTGACCCGTTTAACCAGCAAATAATACTTAAAGACCGAATTGAATTGAATGTTTGAGCCAAAGTATGCTTAGGGAGGTCCAATTGTTCTTCTGCACTTCCAACTGCTCGGAACTAAGCAAAAATGCATCAAAAATGAAAACAAACAACTTTCAATTTAACATTCAAAGATCAAGAATGCTTTGAAAATGCAAAATAAAAACTTGAGAGATAGTTATCAACAAAAAATAAGATTATTACCCTTGTATGTATGTGAAGTTCGGTTAACTTTGGGCACATCTGCAACAAGTGAAAGCAAGCTGATATGTTATCCAAATGCGTGGCATAAAGCATGCATAGCTGCAAGTATTCCACATTTAGTGTACTTTGTTCGCAACCCGCTCTAGATAATACTTCAACAAACCCCTTGAAATAAAAATTAGGTGCAAGTTAAAACGTCATTTTCAGAACATAAACAAATAGTAATCTACAAGTAACAATCAAATAAAAGCATGTATTATCTACCTTAAGGTTAGTATTTTCAAGATGAAGAGAGTGTACAGTTCTGAAGTCTAACTTTACCGGATGAATGAGAGGACGGTATTTTGCAGCAATGGTAGAATCATGATGAATACTAAATTTCAAACTTCTAAGCTTTGGGGCAGTAAAGTTAACACTAGAAATGCTTTCACAGGTTAGATTCCTGAGCATAGGAAGTTCAGCAGCAACACATTTTCTATCATAAAACCTGATGTTTTCTAAGAAGAGTGAAGTCACATTGGGGAATATGCAAGGGGTGCTAATTTGTTCAAAAAAGACTCCTGAAAGATGCAGCGTCTTTAGTGTTAGGCAAGAAAATATGAACTCTGGCAATATGTATGCAGTATATCCAAAGAAACGCAGGTGTATTTCCTCTATACCCTTATGGGTGAGACCAAGTAACAATTCATCCAATTCGAACCACCTGGACTTATCCATATATCTTCTGAAGCTAAAATCAAACACAAATTTTTGAATAGGTCCATTGTGCTTGATGATGATTGTGTTGATTATAGACATCGTTGATTCTGCCATATAATATGTCCAAACTTTATTGAAGAACTCTCCATCAAAGTGGAGGTGCGTAAGACTTAACCAAGCATCTCTCAAACTGGTACACAAAATGGCAGGTTTAGCAGCTTCTTTAATCCGCAGTAATCCCAAAATATGGGCTAGTATGTCTAGTGGAAGTCCACTAATTCTGTCTTCCACCTCCATATATAGCAGATCACTCAAACACAGGAAGCTGAAATCCGAAAAAGAAAAAAGATGTCAAAACATCTTCAGAACCCCCTCAATGAATATGCAATTTAAATATTTATGCCCAAATAAAATATTCACAATTCAAATCGACCTAATAAATCTCAGTCAAGGGCAAAGGAGATTCTCACATTCTGAACGGCAGAACCAGAATAATCATATTCTCTCACAAACCTATTTCGACGTTAACAATTGGCAATTGGGCATTACACTCCCTCTTCTTTTAATGGCCGAATATTTGTTTTCGGAATGTTTTTAAATGCTTAATGTTTTTCTATTCTTAACAGCTTTTAATTTATCTTTATTTTTTCAATGCCTCAATATGTTTTCTATTTTAGTGGTCTTTATTAGTACAATAGATTTATAGATCCCAAAATTTTGTTTTCTCCGTTGTAAGTACTGGTAAGTTATACTCCGATACAGCGATAGGTTTTATACTGGTAAGAAGCTATTTACGAATTAGTGTATAATTAATTAATTAATTAATTAATTTCTTAAGTTAGGAATACACACCAAACCATAAGCTGCCGGCCAACCTAATTTCCTTTGAAACCCACAACATTTATTACCTCGTTCCCACTTAACATTGTCGAACAGATGTTGGGTAGAAAATTAAAATAATAAAAACCTTGTGAGTTGTGATTGAGATTTATGTAGTGAGGAGACCGAAATAAGCAGAATCACAAATTCTTTGCCAAAAAAAGGCAAAGTTATGCAAGTTTGCAGAATCACAAATTCTTTGCAAAACTTTTTGGGACAATCAAAAAATGAAAATTCATTAAATGCATTTAATTGGCTATAATAAACATCACAATTGCAGTACGCATAAAAACAGGAAGGGAAAACTGTCAAATAGGTACTCGAACTTTCATAAAAAATCAATTAATTAAGTCCTTCTATAGGAGGTTCTGTCCGATCATCGCGATTTGGGGCAATTCCTGGTGAAATTTTTTGATGAATTTTTTTGAGCATCTTATTCACCAAGTCTAGTTTACTCATACCAAATTTCAGCTAAAAATTCAATCGAGAACACATTCAAATTAATTCTTGAAGATAACTGCGAACTTTTGCGTTCTCGAATTAATTTGAACGCGCCCCCGATTAATTTTTTAGCTGAAATTTCGTATGAGTAAACTAGACTTGGTGAATAAGATGCTCAAAAAATTTCATCAAAAAATTCAACCGGGAACTGCCCCAAATCGCGATGGCCGAACAGAACCTTCTATAGAAGGACTTAATTAACATTTTTATGAAAGTTCGAGGACCTATTTTACCGTTTTCCCAAACATGAATGTATTCAAACGTCAAACCCTATTATAGAAACATATCTCCGTATATGAACTTGTAGTATAAGATCGAATTCAAGTCATATAATTAAGCAGAGGTACGATCAACTTACACGTTATCGCCGATCTACGTACTTACTTTCAAGCTATTATTATATGCTGGGAATAATTCTACTGCATTGATTTAGGGCAGGATTAATTATTTCTGTGGACAGAACCAGAGATAAATAATAGTGGTGTATATACTCCGTAATACATAGTGGTATGGTAGCCTGGTAGGTTTTAAACGGTGCTGAGCATGGGCTCACTTTTTCATTGGGCTCCAAAAAGTAAATGTTTAGTGAATAATGGGTGTGTACACAAAAGGCGTACACATTTGGTGTAAACCATTAAAGTTGATGTTTAGTAGTGTCATATGGCATATATATGTTTGATTTTTCACAATTATTTATTACTCGTATTAATATACTTGATCTAGGCAATGTATGTAGTGCTTTCTAAAAGGGATATTGCCTTATAAATAGTTTTGGAATTTTGAAATACAATTGCTATATTTTTGGGAAATTACCCTAAATACGATTACAAAACGTTTGTGTATATATATTTCAAAATAGGACTATATCATATTTTATTCTCAAAATAGGACTAACTATTATCATGTTTTGGCAGTAACAGACTTTAAACATGGCCGTATTATCCAAATTTGATAGTAATTAGTCATATTTGACAAAAAAAACATGACAGTCATATTTTGGAATTTTCAAACTTTTTTACTTCTATTTTGGGAATTTTTCCAATATATTTTTGTTCTCGAAATAGGAGTAATTACTGTCATGATTGAAAAAAAACTGTCATTAATCATAGCAAAAATTGTCATATATAATGGTCTAGTACTGCAACTATTTGACAGTAATAATTGCAAATTTCAACTACTTTCCCTTATATATTTTTGTCATCTTTTCTTTTTTGATTATCCTAACAACTAGGGGTGAGCAAGGGATGGTACGAGAAGGTTATTTCAAAAAACCTATCTCGTCCCAAAGTACGGTCCTTTTAAAAATCAAAGAACTAGTACCGCCCCGAACATATGTAGAACCTATCCTGGTCTCATACCAAATTTCCAGTACGGTTCGATACGATTCGGGATGGTTCTTCGCTACTATTCGATTCCTAAATAATTAACTCTCAGGAAGTTAAAAACATTTTAGGTTTTAGCATTTTTAAGTAAGTAACTGTACAAAAAATTCAAGAGAATGGATTGCAGGATTGAAAAGTTTACGTTAAACTAACCTTGTGCAATCAAAACTAACTAAAATACAAACGTAATAGTCAAACTATAATAGAATTATAGTTCCGGTCTTCTTGAGCATGCAGAGCACCAGAGGTCGCTTACAAAGTAATTAAACTAGATTTAAGTGTTCTTTATCATAGTTATTAACTTATTACTACTATTATTTATACAATTTAGTACACTTGATAATTGTATTCGGGGCACAAAGAATGTGCTCCCATTATACGGTCTATACCAAAGCTTTAGGTAATCACAATGTAGATTATTAGCTAATATAATTAATAATATAATGTACACATAGTATTATTTTGTTTAACAAATTTTTCGGGATAATACGGGACGAGACGGTTGAATACGATTCCGAGGGGGGTGGTTCTCACTTAGGAACCGACACCGTACCATATTATTAAAGCATTTCGGTATGGTACGGCATTATATTTTCCCGGTTTGTTCAGTTTTGTAACAGTTCGGAACGGTTATTGGTACGGAACGAGAAATCCGAGATTCATGCTCAACCTACTAACAACTTTATCACTTTCCCTTTTAATCAATAAATTTATACTTTCTTTATTTATCGTTCCTTTTCACAAATCTCAGTCACACAGGTTTACTTTAAGTATTCCTCGTGCAAGTTTGTCATTAAGGGATGGAGGGAGTAACATTAAAGAACTTATGTGAGGTGACAGTGGAGCATCACAATTTAAGTTTGCTGCCTCTAAACGTAAAACGTCGATTAGATAAGCTAAGCTAAGCAGCGGCCTTGTCCCTCTCATGTAGTTTTCTTTTATTTCGGTCGATTTTCTACAAGTGTGCAACTGTGTTAATTTCAGTGAATCATTAGATTTCATCTCAGTTTCGAGAGAGTAATTTAGTCGACTTGAAATTCATTTAATGAGGGCATCGATTGGTGTCCTATAAGCAAGGGCAGAGATTAATAAGAAAAGTTGTCGTGTGATGGCGATTGACGTTTGGCAGCATGCTTTCAATGCCGAAAGTGAATTCATAGCAGAGAATGTTATGAATAACGAGCAGGGTGAGGAAGAAGATGCAATATTACTGATCTATCCCCTCTTGAATTGCAACCGTAGAGGGGTATAGTACACGAACGTACCGCACACAATAAACCTCAATCAAACGGTGTTGCCGAACGAAAGAATCGCACATTGAAAGATATGATGAACGCGATGCTAGTAAGTTCGGGTTTGCCACAAAATATGTGAGGCGAAGCAATCTTGACAAGCAATTACCTTTTAAATAAGGTTCCCCGGAAAAAATATAATAAAACTCCGTACGAGTTTTGGAAAGGCAGACGGCCTTCCTATCAATATTTAAAAGTGTGGGGGTGACTTGCTAAAGTGCTTGTACCAACACCTAAGAAAATAAAAATAGGTCCAAAAACGGTGGATTGTATTTTTATTGGATATGCACAAAACAGTGGTGCTTATCGGTTTTTAGTGTACGATTCGAATAATCCGGATGTACATAAAAACACAATAATTGAATCAAGGAATGCTTCATTCTTTGAAGATGTATGTCCATGCAAGTCCAACGAAGGACCTAGCACGTCAAAACGAACATTTGACGTAGCTATGGAAAATACTAGCGAGGGATCCGGTGAAGAACCCGAACCCCGACGTAGCAAACGTGCTAGAGTTGAAAAATCCTTCGGACCAGATTTTCTCACATACCTCGTAGAATTCGATTCGAATATTCTAACGTGTATGGCAGAAAATGAACCGGATTTTCTAACATGTTTGGTATAAAATGAACCACGGACTTATACGGAAGCCGTAACGTCTACCGAAGGACCGATGTGAAAAGAAGCCATCAAAAATGAGGTGGGCTCTATCCTAAAAAATCACACGTGGGAATTGGTTGATCTCCCTCCGGGATGAAGTTGATCCTTGGAGCAGTTGATCCTCCGTCTACGGATTGAAGAGGATAACCGGAAGAACGATGGGAAACTCCCAATCGTTAGCGGCGCCAAGGCCAACGTAGTGGAGCATGCAAAGGGCTCCAAAATAAAAAATAATGGGAAGATCAAGCTCGGTCCTAAGGGAGGCGTTTCCAAGACAAAGTTCAACGGAAAATGCTTCAATTGCAATAAAAACGGACACAAGTCCTCGGATTGCAAGGCACCAAGGAAGAAGAAAGATTTTCACGTGAACTTGGTGCAAGGTGGGCAAAAGGATGAAGACTTCATCCTTGCAGCCGTGGTGACCGAGGTCAACCTCGTTGGATCTAATTCCAAGGAGTGGTTCGTGGACACCGGTGCTACCCGGCATATTTGCTCAAACCGGGAGTTATTCACAACTTTTGAGCCATCAAATGGTGAGAAGGTGTGGATGGGAAACTCCGCTCATTCCGCGGTTGAAGGCGTGGGAAATGTGGTCCTGAAGATGACTTCGGGCAAGGAGCTGACTCTAAACCAAGTTTTGTTCCTTCCGGAAATATGCAAAAACCTGATTTCCGGTTCATTGTTGAACAAACATGGCTTCCGCATGGTTTTTGAGTCGGACAAACTAGTTTTGTCTAAATCGGGAATGTATGTGGGCAAAGGATATGCATGTGATGGGCTGTTTAAGATCAATGTAACGAGTATTATTAATAATAATAATAAAATCCCTTCTACTTACTTGCTTGAGTCTTCTAATGTGTGGCATGGTAGACTAGGACATGTTAATTTTAACTTTATACGTAGATTAATTAACATGGAGCACATTCCTAAATTCACAATTGATGT